ACAAGCTGTATGAAAAAGATCCCTATTGACTTGTTTTGATGACTTTTCTAGAGTGAATATCTGCGTGATGTTGTTACGGGGTGCTCTAAAATGTTTGCGACATTTTTTATTTCGCATATATCTCTACTTGAGAAAATTATAAAATGTGGATTTTGTTTTCAAAAGATGCGCCGTGAAAAGCTCTACAAAACCTGTGTAAACAAATCCCCTATTGACTTGTTCTGATGATTTTTCCTAAATTCCAAATGAACAACCTACATGATAGTGCTACTTTCCAGCATAATAAAAATGTTTGGAAGACTGTTTTGTTTTGCATATATCTCGGATTGAGAAAATGATAACATCTTGATTTTTCTTTTGAAAGATGCACCGTAGAAAGCTCTACACAAGCTGTATGAACAAATCCCTATTGCAAAATAAAAAACGTCTTCCAAACATTTTGTTATGCTCAATACGCTGGGAAATAGCACTATCATGTAGGTTGTTCATATTGAGTATGGGAAAACCATCAGAACAAGTGAATAAGAATCTCTTTACACAGTTTTTGTAGAGCTTTTCATAGCGCATCTTTTCCAAAAAAAATCAAGGTTTTATCATTTTCTCAAGCCGAGATATATACAAAATAAACAATGTCGCAAAACTTTTGCAACACCCGGTATATTAACTTCACCGCAACTCTGATGTGAAAAGCATAAACTCCAAAGTTCGAGTTACACATGTCTCTTATCAAGCATTTAAAAATTCTTGTTCTTCAGATCCTACTGGGAATATCCGTGACATGTTAGCTTAGTAGAAGCTTCTCAGGAGAAGTACCACATCATGATTATAGCAAGATTCTGATAGAATATTCTCATCATTTTCAGAATTTGAGAGTTTCACAGAAAATCTTACTTACAAGAAAACCTTCCCAGGTACCGGAACGCTTTTCAGTCGGGGTTTCGTGTATCTTGTAGCCCTGCGTGAGCTGTGTCTATGGTTAAAACAGTTCAGGTTTCTGGTTTGTTTCTGAGGAGAAAAAAAAAGTTTTTACTATTATATCTATAAGGATAATCTTATTAGGAAAAAGTACCATGTCAACGAACATAAGTTGAAACGAGCTGAGATTTTTCCAAGGGGGAAACGGCGGATTTTTGGGATTGCCAATCCTTGAAAACCCATAAAAAATCCGTAAAATCCCAGAAATCCGTAAAAAATCCCTGAAATACAATTAAAATACGAAAATCCGGAAAAAATCCCAAAAATCCGGAAAAAATCCATGAAATACATTATTTAAGTCAGTCGCATATGACGAACATGTTGTTTGTTTGATATTGACGAAGTCATATTTTTGTATATTTCACTTTAAAAAATTGTTTCTGTTAGATAAAATGTGTCTAAAACATAACAATCTTACAAGATATTCTGTAAGCTAGAATGTAGAACGCCTTGTGACAGTGTGTATAAGGACAAAAGAGCAAGGGGAAAAAGCGGATTTGGGATTTTATAGATTCTAAAATCCAAAAAAGAGTTTTTTTTGATTTTACGGAATTTTTGGGGATTTTTGGATATTTTTTTTAGATTCCTGAGATTTTCTTTTCGAACTTTTAAACTTCTTCTTTCTTGTCCATCATTCGAATGCCATATTTCCTATTGTAAAACAACGTTCTATAACCACCAGATATATTATTTGGAATAATTTGGTTGTCGTCTCTCATTCACCACAGTGGCATTCTTCAAGGAGTTTGACTAGGCATCTCGTCAAAGTGCATGTAAAAAGGTGTCGCAAAACGTTCAAAGTGTGCCACTTTTTAGGGCTGTTCTATGGGGTACTCATAATTCCTCATGCCCTATCCTATGGGTCACTCATAGGTCCTTATGGACTATCTTATGGGGTACCTATAAGTCCTCAAGCGCTGTCCTATGGGGGTGCCCATAAGTCCTCTTGCCCTATCCAACAGGACATCCATAGATCCTCATGCCCTATTTTATGGGTACCCATAAGTCCTCATGGCTTATCTTATGAAATATCCATAAGTGCTTATGGCCTATCCTATGCAGTTATCATAAGTCATCATCGCCTGTCGTATGAAGGTACTCATAGGTCCTCAAGCGCTTTCCTGTGGAGCTACCCATAAATCTTCAAGCGCTTTCCGTGAGCAGTGCCCATAAAGCTTCCAACGACTATCGAGGTTTGGTATTGTTAACTTTTCAAGGACTGTCTTGCGGTAGTTCTGGTTACTCTTCAAGGGTTATCCCATGGAAGAGTGTCGGGTACTGCTGACTGTTCAGGAGATATCTAGCGTTAGTCGTCACAGGTTTTCAAGGGTTTTTAATCACAAGACCTGGCAGACAATAATAAGGATGCTACTCGTACATCATCTAGCAGCTGAAGTTGAATGTGGTACGAGACTGGTGTAAAGGTAATGTAAGAATCGTGTACCTGATTTTTCCTTAAAGAAGTAAAAGTGGACTGTTCTTCTTAGCTCAACATCATTGAGTCACCTAAAGGAGCAGTTTTACTTCACAATTAGTATTACGTCGACGAGATTGCGTTTCACAGGTTTGGGTCAATTTTGAGTTACTCTTTTATCAAAGATCGGTTCAACGTTTGGTTCATGACACCTTTAGCTCCACGACTTCCGAGAGCTCAATTGAAGAGGTGCTAGAGAGTAGCATCTCATGTGAATGAGAGCTGACTGATCATCTCCACCACGGCAAACTGAACTGGGGCTCTCGCACACTTATAAGTGCCACTGTAAGACAGCCGTTGAGGATCTATGGGTACCGCCATAGAATAGGCCATGAGAACTTATAGTAGCTCCCATAGGATAGCCCTTGAAGACTTGTGGGTACCCTATAGGATAGGCTATGAGAACCTATGGGTACCCCCATAGGATAGCCCTTGAAGAATTATGGATACTCCTATAGGATAGCCCTTGAAGACCTATGGGTACCCCCATACAACAGCAGTTAAGAACTTACGGGTACTCTCATAGGATAGCCATTGAGGACTTAAAACTGCCTATTTATGTTCGAAACACTTGAGCATATGATCGGAAAATATTGCTGAAAACTACTTTCGATTTTGGATTTTCGGGTTTTTTGGGATTTCTTGGGATTTTTTGGGATTTTTGGGATTTTTTTGGATTTTCTCGGGATTCAAATCCAAAATAATCCGCTTTTTCCCCCTTGTAGGTAGATAGTTTTTGTTCTTTCTTTTTCATTTTTTCTGATTTTTGTTGTTTTTCTTTGCTCTGTTTTTTTCAATAAAATACGATAGACTAATGTCCTCTGAAGTCCCAGTTGGTGTGATAACAATCATAGCAAGTGACGTGTCTAGGTAACTGGCGATGACAGATTTATTTTTTACTATGACTCAACCTATTGTCTCTCATTATAAGATTCTGTGCAAAACCTCTGAAGTACGACAAAAATCCCGAAAATCCTGTAAAAGTCCATGCAATCCTGTAAAAATCCATGAAATCTCGTGAAAATCCCGAAATCCCACGAAAATCCCAAAATCTTCTGGAAATCTTCTGGCAATCCGGAAAATCCTAAAAATACGAAAGAAATCCTAAAAATACGGAAAAAATCCTGAAAATCCCGAAAATACGGATTCCGCCGTTTCCCCCTTGGATTTTTCTCACATATAGTTGCGCTAATATGTTGTGAAACTGATAACTCTATCTTCTCAACGTTTTTTGAGCTCAAACTTGACATTATCTTCCGTATGAGTACAACTATATGTGAGAAAAATCTCAGCTCATTTCAACTTATATTCGTTGACATAGTACTTTTTCCTGAAAAGATTACCCTTATAGATATAATAGTAAAAACGTTTCATCTCCTCAGAAACAAGCCAGAAACTCCAACTTTTTTAACCATAGACACAGCTCATTAAGGGCTACAAGATACACGAAACTCCGACTCAAAAAGCGTTCTGGCACCTGGGAAGGTTCTCTTGTTAGTCGCTAAGATTCTATTCTATGATCCTCACACAATGGTTTCAAGGTCATTTTCACACAAACTTACTAACAGCTTTGTAGACCACGTTCTGGCTATCCCATAACCATTGCCCTTTCCAAAGCTCATTAAATCCATAGATCTCAATGTTTTTCACTCGAGAGCTTCGTTAAGATTGGCATGCATCTTTTCAGCATTTTCAAAAGTAGAAAGTCTCAGATTACATAGATCTGCGTCGAACCTTCTCAACTTTGTTCAGTTTCGCCTGTAGTATCCAAGCCTTCTGATGATCTTCCTAAGATCCTATCAGAATCGTCCTTCGAACAGCTTGATATAACTTGCTAAAAGCCTTATCTATGCAAATGTTTAGGAGATTCTTGGGCAGATCTACATTCATCATGCAGAAAATCATGTATCCTTAAGGCTTCCTAAAAAAATATAGGGATTAGGTTTGACATGTGTTGTTCAACGATTCGATATTATTCTCACAAGATGCAGATAGAATCTTCTCTGATGTTCATATAAATGATCATCCTGCAAAAAATTCTGAATTCTTGCAATTTCGAATAAAATCCTCAGCTCCCAATGTCTTTCTCGGAAAAATCTCCTTACAACAACTTCCAGGTGTAGTTTTTACGGTACAAAAGATCTTGGCAAAAGCTAAAAGTGATGCAGATGTAAGAATCGTTACGAAATCCTTTTTTCTCATAGGAAACTAGGAAAATGATTTTGAATTTTTATCTGCAGAAAGAACATTCTCGAAAGTTTTACCGAATTCCCTTCGAAGAAGACGAATATCTCCTTCATAGCTCTTTCCCCCACGAGAGAGAGAGGGCGATCTCTTCGATAACGACGATTTCTTTTCTTTTTCATAAATTGTAGTAATTCACAATATTCCAGCCGGTGCCCGATGGAAACAGAATGGTACGACTGTTGCTGGAGGCCATAGGCAAGGCAATGCCACCAATCAACTCTACTGGCCCTACGGTCTCTTCGTTGATGATGATCAAACAATGGTCATCGGTGACCGGTACAATGATCGTATCATCCAATGGAAGATGGGTGATAAGAATGGACAAGTAGTAGCTGGTGGCAATGGCCAAGGAAATCGATTGGATCAATTGAGTTATCCAACCAATGTGTTGATCGACAAAGAGACGGATAGTCTCATTATATGTGATTACGAGAATGGACGAGTCGTACGATGGTCTCGTCGTAGTGGTACAACTCAAGGAGAAATCCTCATCGACAACATCGATTGTTGGGGATTGACCATGGATGATCAGAGATATCTCTACATCTCTGACCACGACAAAGATGAAGTAAGACGATATCACATAGGAGACAAGAATGGAACTATCGTGGCTGGTGGCAATGGCGAAGGTGCTGGTCTCAATCAACTCAACCATCCGACCTACATCTTTCTCGATCAACAACAGACTGTTTACGTGTCAGACTTCCATAATCATCGTGTAATGAAATGGAATAAAGATGCAAAAGAAGGAATTGTCGTCGCTGGAGGTCAAGGCCAAGGGAATACTCTGACACAATTGTCGTATCCTCAAGGACTGTTCGTCGATATATTGGGTACCATCTATGTGGCAGACTGGGGAAATCATCGAGTGATGCGTTGGTCTAAAGGAGCGAAACAGGGCACTATTATTGTGGGTGGAAATGGTCAAGGAGCAGGAGCTAATCAGTTTTACTGTCTCCAAGGTTTGTCCTTCGATCTTCATGGCAATCTCTATGTCGCCGATCATGGGAATAATCGTGTTCAACGCTTTTCAATCGAATAGACTCGTTACGATGAATTTTTTTCTTTCCTTTCTCCCGAATAAATCACGTTGAATTGATGAAATGAATCATTTATTCTATTCGCGCGCGCGCGACCAGGAACCATCCTGGTGGCGGCGTGGCGAGCGTAATGCTCATGCACGCACGGAACAGACTCATATCATTCATATCCCTCCCAGTCGAGAGATATGTCAATGAGTCTGGGGAGCCCGGTCGTGTGCCACAGACACCAAGACAGTTCCTCGCCAGGTTTTTAGGGCCTACCCGTAAGGTCTGTAAAGAACAGAGTCTCACCCTAACCCTCCTCAATCTCAATATCACTGCCTATTCTCATCGCCTCTCTTCCCTATTCTCATCTCAAAAAAAAAATAATAATAAAGAAATTACTCACGTGCTTTTATGTTGGACGATGATAAACACGACGCGACGATGTTGAAGGCTAAAAGGAAAAGAAAAAAAAAATTTAATCAATCTTATATAATGAAAAGAACGAGATGACTTACTCCACTGTTATCTTTTTCTTCGCTGTTCAATGCCTAAAATTAAAAAAAAATACATAGTGTGTGAGTGTGGGTGTGGCGCGTGAGTGTGAATATGGGTGTGGGTGTGCATGTGCGTGTAAGCTTATACAACACCCACACACCTACACCCCACACCCACACCCACACCAACCCCACACCCACACCCACACCCACCCCACATCCACACCCACACCCACACCCACACCCACACCCACCCCCACACCCACCCACACCCACACCCCACACCCACACCCACCCACACCCACACCCACACCCACACCCACACCCACACCCACACCCCTTCTG